ATATATTATCGGAAATATCGGGTCTCCAGCTGCAGATCATGCAGATCATCGGAAAAATCTTGATTAGTAAAAATTATTATGTGATCTTCACTATGTTTGTAAATCATAAGGCGTCTCGCACCCTAATGGTCCTTGCACTGCTATTGCAGTCTTGGAGACTATAACTACAACCCAATCTTATCTATTGAAGGGCGATGATAATGCACAGCACCTAACCTTTGATTATCCAGCATTGGGTGAGTGGAGGGGCGATAGAGCCATCCTTCACAGGTGAGCGATAGCGAAAAGAAATCTTTTACAAAGTCACAAAACCTTAAATACCACCAATTGCGCCAGATCATTCCCATTTTTTCCATATTATTGATTCTATGTAACCCCCGTCGTTTTCCTCTTTACTAGAAATTGTACGTAATGACTAGAATTTCAAATAATCATATGAAATCATACTAATAACCAGGGATAACCTGCACATACGTACAAGTTATCAAGGAGAACAATCACCACAGCTAGAATGGCTATAAAATGTTAGATAGTAAATGGGAAAACATAATAGACCATAAAGTCATTTGAACTCACAATAATGATCACCCTTTCACTTCGCTTCTCACGTAAAGGAAGCAGAGATCGATTCACTTGTAAATATTTCATAAACTGCGTAACATACCTGGCACTGTGGTTTGTATAAAAGTTAATGGTACGAAAGAAATATTTGTGATATAATTCGTTAATCTGTTCATCTAATGATTAAAATCATTGGCTAACAACTACTGATAGCTTATTTTTCATTAAAAATTTCAAGTTTACCTAATTCAGTTAGAGTTATCCATGGGAGTGATGTAATTGGACATTTTTCTTGTTACGGGCCAGTTTTCGGCAATTATCTCTTTATGAAAAATAATAATAATAAGATATGGGATTATGGACATTATTCAAAATATTAATAATAAGATATGGGATTATGGACATTATTCAAAATATTATGAAAAACGACTTAGAGATGATATTATGGATCTTTTAATTGATGAATTTGAAGTATTTCAAGTATTTAAAGGCTGATTTTTAAATTTTAAACATGTAATTATGACAAAGTGTAAAGTTCATATTTATAGAGCGATTATTTATGCTATTAGAGACTTATCATAATGGTGAAATTATTAAATATATTTAAACAAAAATAAAGTATTTTTATTGTAATTAGGTATAAATTTAGGGTTTTATAATTTAAATTTAATTTAATTTTAAGTTTAATTTAATAAAAACATTATATTATAAAGTAATTGGTAATGGTATATTTTACAGTGCCTGCTAGATCTAATTTTTAGTTCAATATAACTGAACAATTTCTAGTTTTTATGATAAATAGAAGCCTTATTATTTTTCACAAATTTTTTCATGCACCCACCGAATTGATTTAAAACTTCCAGGTTATTAAGCATCGCTGAATATTTACAGTACATATATTTTTAATATAAGCGTGTAATAGTGGTACTATTAATATGTTATGTATCTTTTGGGTGTGTTACAGGTACATAACATTATACAGTAAAAAATATGAACCGCAGTAAAAAAAAAATATATTGATGTCAGATTTTTATTAGTAAACAAATAGTAAATTTAATTAGACGCCAGATTTTTTTAATTAGATGCCAGATTTTTTAATTAGATGCCAGCTTTTTTTTTTAATTAGACGCCAGATTTTTTAAGGGCCTTTTTTTAACTAGATGCCAGATTTTTTTAGGGCCTTTTTTTAACTAGATGCCAGATTTTTTTAGAGTAAAAGAAATATTAAAATAAAAACAACTATAATTACAAGATGAAAAATTTAAGTGATTTAATTAATTTACAACCAAATAAGTTGAAACTTTACAAAAAAAATCTTATCATAATTCTCTACCAACAATATTAATGTGCAGCATCAGATTTAGACTCAAGAAAAAAAATTTGCTAATGAGGTTCTCTCTAAAAAAGTCTTCATCACAGCTATAATTCTGAATATAGAAGACAAATGAAAAATTTACATCATTTTGTCAATTTTTAACCAAATGCTCTGAAATTTTACATAGAAATAGCTGAACATCTACTCTACAAATGCTATTATGATAGATTACTTATTTCATTTCAAGAAATATCTTCTGCAAAATGATTTCTGCAAGAGAAAAATAAAGAAAATGTATGTGTAAAAGTTTTACAAAAATCAGCATATCTCTACGAGTTTTTGAGATATTAATCTTAAAATTTAGATTTGAATAGATATAATTACAGGCTAAAAGTTCTATTATGATCATACAATATGTTCAGACTGAATCTGTAGCTATATTTTGTTCGAAAATAGCAATTTCATCAAGAAGAAAAATTGTTTATAGAAAAAAAAGAAAAAATGTTATAATTTCATGAATATCAAAGTTAGAGATCTGAAATTTTAGATAATGATAGCTGAATAATATAACTACAAACTCTATTATTATTATATAGGAGGTTTTATTTTGGCAAAGTACTTCCAGAATTGATTCTTTACAAGAGAAAAAATAAAAAATTTGTAATTGGTTCTTTTTACAAAAATCTAGATATCTTAATGATTTTTTGTCTGTTTAATCTAAAATTTAAGATTATAATAGCTAAAGTCTTACTAAACAATCGTTGTTAGAAGCATTTTTGTAGTTTTATTTGAACTGCAACTTGAGTATTTTCTTTAAACATATTTTAAAAAATAAAAATCTAAATTAATTAGTAAATTCTGTATTTATTTATTTATATTGTACTACTTTTTTAAATTAATTTACTAATTAGTAAATAGTATTGTACTATTTTCTAAATTAAATTTACTAATTAGTAAATTCTTACTTTTCAAATTAAGTTTACTAATTAGTATGTAAATCTATTTCCAAATTAATTTTACTAATTAGTAAATTCTTACTTTCCAAATTAATTTTACTAATTAGTAAATTTTTATAGTAAAAAGAACTATAATTTATAATTTTATTTACTTTATAAATTATAAAAAAAATTATAAAAAGATCAACTTTCACTTTTTATTTTATTTTTGAGTGTGAATGTAATTTGCATAAAATCCTTAACTCTTTAAATCAATTCTAATAATAATTTTCTCGATAAATAAGATTAATATTTGAGGAAAGCAACTATATATTATTTATCATAATTGTAATCAATATTTTACTAAAATTTTATTAAAAATAACTAGTTTAATTTCTAAAAGAGACATTACTATTCAAAAATATATAATTACAATTAAAAAAAAACAAATAACATCTATATTTATTTGTATTTAGATAAACAAAAAACATTTAAAAATAATTTTTTTTAATCTTGATTTTGGTAATATATTATACTAACCTCAAAAAGTCAAAGAAATTTATTTAGCAAAAAAAGTTAAATTAATAGCAGATAAAAACAAAGAATATTTATCAAATATTATATAAACAAAATAGAAAACTGCTTCAAATTTCAACACAGAATGGCAACAATATATTACTGTATTCCTTGTATTAATAAATTCAAATGTACTAAGAATTTATCACAAAAAGATATCAATGAATGTGAAAAAAAATATAAAAAACTGGTGAAATAGATCTTTGTAAATTATGTAATAAAAATTATTGGTGATGTAAAGATGAAAGTTATATAAATTGTTGTGAACTAAAAAAGTGTAATGATATTAAATACTTTTATTGCAAAGAAAATAATATTAGATATCAATGTATTTACCAAAAACAGCAGAAAAATTTGAACTATTAAAAGAAAAAGAAGTGACATTTAGTTCAGGCCAATATGAGATTACTTAGACGAAACAATTTCATGAACAAGCATATTTTTAGTTTACTAATAGAATATCAGTAAGACAAGCTAAAAATATTTTTGAACACTGAGGTATAAATTTTCCAAAATACTTACAAGGTAGTTCTGACCAGAACAGAGATTATAGTATTAAAAAATATTATCATTATAAAAAACATAAAAAATATCAGTGTGATTATCAAAATTTTGAAGAAATTTGTAAATATTGTGATATTTCTTGTAATCATTTGTTTGCAAGATAGAAAGAAGAAGAATTATCACAAGATTTAATTAGACTATGGATATTTGGAAAATATATGCTTTAGGAAGATATAAAGAAGATAAAGAATATAATGCATTACAAGAACAATTGTTAGAAGAACATGAAGCTATAATAAATGAAAATAATATATTATTAAATGGATTATCACTACTTGAAGTATTTACAAAAAATTCAGATAAAGTTTGTTATTCATATAGTTATATTAGTATAAAAGAAATTTATAAAGATTTAAAAAATAAAAAGAAAAAATTGGTAAAAAGATTTTGGAGACCTATATATTTTTATTTTTATAGTCCAGGTAGAAGTGGTAAATCAGGATTAGTTCAAGCTTTATTTGAAGATGAATTATATGAAAAACCCAAAAAACAAAAATCTGGTTCTAATTGGTAGAATGATTATAATAACTACAAAATTGTATTCATTGATGAATTTTATATAAAATTGAACTAGAATGATATTATTAATATTTTAAATAATACAGCATTTAATGTTGAAGAAAAATATAAAGGTTTTATTCTTTTTTTAGCAAAATATGTTTTTTTAACTGCAAAAAACCACTAGAAGATAGTTTCAATTTTGGTCAATATGGAGAGGAAAACAATTAACGAGATTTAGACATTTTGAATTGCATTTAAATTATATTATAGAATTTAAAGAAAAGTGAAATAAATATTTAGAAAAAAGAACAACAGAAATAATATTTTATAAAGGTGATAAAAATAAATTTTGAAATATGATATTTGATATTGAACTTTGTATTAATAAGGAAGGTCCAGAAGCTCTATTGAAAAAAGTAAAAAACTTAACAAAGGTATTGATAGAGAACACATTATTGATGAAGATGATATTTATTGGAGACGATATTTTTCAGAATATATAAAACAATATTTACAATCTTATCCTAACAATCAAAAAATGTTTAAATATTTACAACAAAACAAATCATGTGATCAAATTAATAATAATGATCAAGAAAAATCTTCTAGAAGCTCTATTAAAACAATACAGAAGATTGAAAATAAGAATACAGAATATGATTCTTTATTATCTGAATATAATTCAGATGATTCTGAGTATACTAAAAAATTAAAAAGAAAAAACAATAAAAATAGAAAAAGAAAACAAAATTCAATTCCAAATACAAAAAATTCCAAAGAATTAAATAACAAAACAGACCTTAAACAACAAGAAATTCAACAAAATAATCTTAAAATTATTAACAATAAATGACAAAAACTTAATGAAATTGATGATTTTGAATAAATTAAAGATGCAATTAGATATTGGTAAAGAAGAAATTTAGCAATAATTTATTCATAAAAAACAGGAATAATCATTTTTTAAAAACATAAATCATATACTTAAATCAATTTAATTTTATTTATTAATTCAATATATTTTTTAAGAATCTTCTAAAAGATTTCACATAGTATAATTTATTATAATTTATTTGTATATTTCTTTTATTTTTTTTATTTTATTTTATATTTATTAAAATTTGTCAAAGTATTATTATACAATTTAATAAAAAATCTAAAAAAGTTAAAAATTAATTCTAAAGTTTATTGTTTTGAATATTTATTTTTCTTATATCTCCATATAGTTTTAAATTCAAAAAATAAGAGTTTATTTTTATCTTCTAATTTTTAATTTCGGTCAAGGCTTTAATATATTTCTGTTGCAATTCTTTATATGATATATCAGTCTTTAATTGTATATATTTGATATCATTTTTGGCATATTTGTTGCATCCATAAATATTGAAATCATATCATCTCTTCTTTACTTTGCATGCAATACAAGAAATTTTTATATGTTTCTTTTTTCTTTTTAATTGCCTATATACCATTGGCTAAATAATTTATTCAAAACTAAAAAATAAAAATTTAAATATAAATGGTTAAATTAATATTTATAAAAAATATAAAAATATATACAAGAAATGATAAAGAAGATTACAATTTTTTACTTAACATATTTGATATTAGTTATATATCTTTAACAGATCTAAATTTTAGTCAAAAGTTCAACTTATTGAAGAATTAAAGAATTCAGAAAATAAAAATGAATTTAATTAATCTATTAAAATGAAATAGAAAAG